TTTGGAAGCAGATCTGGTCTGCTTCCAAATTCCAAATCTGGTCTTAGATTTAGAATCTAAAGCGTCAAATCTTGATGCCAAAGGTAACCCTACCCACACAAAGAGGACCCCTTCCCTCAACTTTGGCATCTGGGTTTGGGGTCAACGTGACAAGGAAAATGGTAATCGACAGGAAAACAGTATGGCCACTCCTCAAAAACTTAAACTTAGAATTACCATATGATTCAGGAATTCCACTTCTGGGCATGTACCCAAAAGAATTGAAACCAGGGTGTCAGAGGTATTTGTATATCCAAATTCACAGCAGCATTATTCACAATGGCAAAGAGGTGGAAGCGACCCACGTGTCCACTGATGGATGAATGGATAAGCAGAATGTGGCCTACACATGCTATAGAATATTATTCCATAGAAAGGAATGAAATGCTGGCACATTCTACAATACGCAAGAATCTTGAAGAATTATGCTAAGTAAAATAAGGTAGTCACAAAAAGGCCAATGCTATATTGTTCCACTAATAGAAAGTCCCTAAAATAATCAAATTTATAGACAAAAAGTAAAATGGTGGCTGTGAGGAACTGGAGAGGAACTGAGGAAGGAAACGTATTGTTTAATAGGTATGGAGTTACAGTTTGCAATGTTGAAAAAGTTCTGGAGATGGACAGTGGTGTTGATTGCACAACAGTGGGAATGTACTTAATGCCACTAAACTATACACTTAAAAATGGTTAAAATAGTGCTAGGGTTTGCATGTGTTCCCTCAAAAATTCAGGTGTTGAAACTTAATGGCCAACATGATGGTATTAAGAGGTGGGACCTTTAAAAGGTGATTAGGCCATGAGGGCTCCTCCCTCATGAATGAAATGAAGACCCTTATAAAGAGGCTTCATGAAGCCTTCCCCTCTTGCTCTTCTCCCTTCTGCCACGTGAGAACACAGCACTCCTCCCCGCCCATGGCTACAGCAACGAGGCACCATCTTGGAAGCAGAGACCAGGCCCTCACCAGACAACTGAACGTGCTGGTGCCTTCATCTTGGCCCTCCCAGCCTCCAGGACTGTGAGAAAATAAATCTGTTCTTTATAAAGTACCCAGTCTATGGTATCTTGTTATAGCAGCACAAACAGACTAAAACAAATGGCTGATTTTATGTTAGGCGTATTTCACCACACACGAGAAAAGTAATCAACAAAAGGTTAGAAGTTTCAGCCAGTCCAAACAAGCAAATAGGATTTTTAAAGAGGGGACTCAACCAGAAACCTACATCCCTCATCTTCCTCCTGCCAGATGAGGGGAGACGCAGGTGGCCAGGCTAGGTGTAAGAGGGAGCAGAAGAGTCACGGTAGCCAGGTGCGGTGGCTCACACCTGTAATCCCAGCACTTTGGGAGGCAAAAGTAGGCAGATTCCTTGAGGTCAGGGGTTCAAGACCAGCCTGGCCAACATGGTGAAACCCTGTCTCTACTAAAAATACAAAAATTAGCCAGGCATGGTGGCAGGTGCCTGTAATCCCAGCTATTTGGGAGACTGAGGTATGAGAATTGCTTGAACCCAGGTGGCAGAGGTTACAGTGAGCCACGATCACACCACTGCACTCCAGCCTGGATGACAGAGCAAGACTCTGTCAAAAGAAAGAAGAAAGAAAGAAAGAAAAAGAAAGAAAGGAAAGAAAGGAAAGAAAGGAAAGAAAGGAA